CACTAAGTTAGGAAATGACGTCGATTTATTTATAATTAATTACGAAATAAGCTCCTTTCTTTACACGTAGACTACCAAATCAGTGAAGAATTTAGTGCACCTAGACAGACACATATACGCAAATGAAGTTAACAGACACAAGGACTTTTTATTTAGTGAAGTGATGGACATACGAGTCAAGTTAACAGACACAGACATTTATACTTTTTAATGAAGTCAACAGACACAGACATTTATACTTTTGAATGAAGTCAACACAGACACAGACACACGAGGATTGAGTGAAGACAAGGAAACACATGATTGAAGTTAACAGACAGGAACACATGTGAAAGGAACAGACACTAAACCCGCCTGAATTAATTAAGTAATCACATGCAGACACGTGATTCAAATTAACAGACATAAGATAAGAATTAAATGAACAGATGGACATGTACACACGTGGATGCAGCTATTAAACATTCATACACATGTCTACATGAAGTGAACAGACACGTACACGAGTGCACATGGGACATTCAGACAGACACGCACATAACTATTGTACAGAAGAACGAATTAAGTGAAAAGACAGGCATACACAGGCACACGTAAATCCAAAACGCACATAGGCATAAACATACACGAGGTTAATAATGTGTACACGAGTTTAGTCATCTTTATGTACGTATTTTCAGTGTTGCAAATTATGAACATGCAATTGCGTTTCTTTGCCAGTGACAGCGAAGACAGGCGCTCAGACGGAAGGCATTCATTACATCAATATCAATGAGTGTCTACGTGGTGTAAGACTTTAATTAATATCAAAATAAAATTTAAAAAAAATGTTCTATTGCGATTTTAGGTGGCATGGGTGACGTGTGAAGCCCGAGCCAGGAACCCCCAATACTTATAGGATCGAATTGCTTATAATCCCCTTCAGCCACGTAACTCCAGGCGATCCAATCCCCTTTGATCCTCCTCTAGCGATGCTCTCTCGTCACCCACCAGCTTTCCCGACCCCGAGATTCCCCCGCCTATTCGCTATCATGGTTCCCGACATGGTCCTTCGGGAAGAGACGTTCGAGCGGAAGAAGAACAGTTGAAATTCGGTCCAATTTGGTCCAATTTTCCTCCTTCACGCCGCGGATTTCCCCCCCACGAGGTCGAGGTCGAGGTCGAGATGAGTGTGGATGCGTACGGACCGAGTTCTCAGAGCTTGACCTTCTACGACACGGAAGAGGCCGACCTCCTCGGGGCTGACACTCAAGGCTCCGAGTACGAGTTCAACCTCACCCTCGGGAGCCAGACTCAGACTCAGACTCAGACTCAGACTCAGACGCACACGCAGGCCGATTTGGACAAGACTCAGGCTTCGCAGGGTCAGGTAATGCCAGCTGGGAGGAGGAAGATTAAGTTTTTTTTTTTTACCTTTTTTCATATTTATTTTTTTAATCACGTCTTCATCTCCCTCTCTTTATTTCCTTCTCCTTTTTTTCATTTCCTGTGGGTTGTATTGTAAAGTCTTCTGTCTTTTATTCTCTCGTAATTCCTCTACAACGTTTTCGCCTCCATGCTATTTCTCAGCATTTGCTTTTAGATCAAGATTCCATCAAAACGGAAAAACAAACAAACCAAAAAACAAACAAGCAAAAAAAAAATAAAGCCAAACTGACATTCGCTGCCATGTGCCTTTTAACCTGGGGGGGTGGGGTGAGGAACGACAGCGAAATCTTGACGTCCTGGCTCTCTGGCAAAGGCCAACAGACCCGCGCGACGTCCACCCTGGCGAGAGGGCGTGCGTGACCACCCTGGCATGGAATAGTAAGCCAAGGACTGGTCTAGTGTCTTAACCGCGCCGAAATGTCCGTACGGGGGAGGGTGTTCGTTAGCCCTTTGGGGGGGGGAAGAGGCGCAGTGGCATCAATTTTCCATCGTGTGGTCTTAAGTCTGGACAGATTTATACTTTTGAGAAACCGATTCGGGCTGACTTGCGGGAAATATCCGTTTTGTCGACATGAGGAGGTGGCTTGAGTGGCAGAACAACCATTGGTACATTGTCCAGCACCTTTTCCCTTAACTGGCCCTCAGGATCGACAAAGAAGACGCTTTCACGGACAGTTAGGAGCTGAAAATCGTCCAGGTCTTGAAATACAGTGTTAGTGTGAGATCTAGCAGTGTGAAGATATTGAACTTGGAACCACACCCTGTCTCAGGCTTTAAGTTCTGTTTATCCAGCAAAACTTGGGGAAATTGTTGCAGAAAAAGGACAAAAAAATGAAAAAGAAGAAAAAGCAGGCCAAGTTCTGTATCTGACTTAAAAGCAGTATATCCCAGGCAAGGGGAGATTTTGATAAGTCTGGGCCTGCTGTGCTAAAGCCACTGTGGATGTTACTGTTAGTCTGACTAATGTGTTTTTGATGATTATATCAAGAATAAGGATTACAAATATATATCCTTATCATAATTCACACTAAGAATTATCAGGATAGAAAGTCTCATGATTTGTAAGGATTATTATTTTTTTTTTTTTTTTTTACTGTAGGACAAGTTGAATGCAGATTGTTGCATGCTTTACAGCAATCTTTCTGAATTGCTCCCCCAACACTCACACACACACATTATTACACCATTAGGCCATGTTCACAAGACGAATTTGCCACACACTCATGAGCAGGTTATACATTTGCCTAAAAACAACCAGTGTGCAGTTTGAGTCCATGCCAAGGAGGATGCTTTTTTAAATGTTACATTTATTGTATGTGATGTCATGTGATGTATACGAAGAGATAACAGTGGGTTGAACAGGTGCTTGGTGACTTTGCCTTTGGGTCATTGGTTTATGTGGACTTAGTGGTATGAACATTGATTCATAGACTTTATGATTTATTTGTGGGTGTGTTTTTTGTCAGTTTTTTTTCTATTATTATTTTGTAGTGCGTGTTGGCATCTAGGCTCACTGTTCTGGAGTGAGCATAACGAAAACAGAGATGAATAGTCATGTTCTGCTGTTTAGAGTAGAATACATGCATGTATAATTTATAAAGAAAACAGCAAGAGGAAAGCTATGCAGATGCATTTATTTTACCAAACAGAGTTAGTTTAAATTTAGTTATTTAGTTAATTATTAGCTTTACATTAAGGTTTAAGTTTAAGTTAGTTTAGGTTAGTTTGATTTAATCTAGTTTGTTCCAAAAGAGTAGTCTCTTGTCTCTTTTAAAAAGGCTTCATTGCATTTGTAAATAGCTTGGGTCTTTTACTGGAAGTTTATGGGAATTCCAAGTTTCTCATAGCAACAGTTATTATGTTGATAGGTAAAGAAGTCATGAAGTATGTGTAGTTAGGAAGTTGCCTGATAAGAGGGAAAGCTAGAGTTTGTCTGCTGTTGTAAAAAGGCACATGGTTTCTTTCTTTCTTTCCTTCTTTCTTTTTTGAGTGTTTGTGTTTTTCCTTTGTTTTTTGTTTTTACTGTAAGGTGTTACTATCTTAAAAAGGATTCCTACCAAAGACAGAAAAGGAAGTGACAGTTGAAAGTGCTGTGAATATTTTGAGGGTATTTGTTACCGAGAGCGACGCAACCTACAGAGACGAAAGCCAGGGTAGCATGAGAACTCAAAACACAAACCTAACCATTCCAACCCTCTATTTATTCCCTAAACAACCCCCCCTTTACCCCACCCCCCCCTTTATTAGCACTTGGTGATAACTCTCATAAAACGGACATTAAGAAGTCTGACTGTGTGAAGGTGTGGACTTAGTCTCTAAGCAGTGACATGCAAATGACATTTTCGTCATTACTTGGTAAATACGAGGCCATTGCAGATGTACCTGTGTGGCTTATACTTCTATTTTTTTATGCTCTATAAGATAGCAGTGTCTATTTCCCACTATTTTTGTGCATCGCTCTTGGTAACAGTAACCATTTTGAGTATACTAGAAAACATACATAGAATTACCAGTGTTAATAAGCATGTTTTTATGATGTTGGTTTGAGGGAGATGGAATCTGTTTGTGTTTGTTTAGTGACCTGTGTTTTTGATTGGCTGGTATCATTTAAATTCTGAGAGTATCACAAAATAACAGGGAAGACATATGATCCTCATTGTCATGTCTTCTCCTGATAGCAAGGCATGGAAATGCAGTTATTTCAGATGACTTTTCTCTTTGTTTATTTTTGTCATATTTTTGAAAGTACAATAGAAATTTTTGATTTGTTTGAAACACATTTAGTAATTTGTTTAAAGAATTACCTGGTTCTGTATAGTGATGATATACTGCATACTATAACTAAACTGTACAAGGGAAATGAGCAATAATAGTATTCATTTCTTTATAATATGCTGTACAGAGTGGTAGAGGTATAATGGTAGACATACCATTTTTAAGCAAATTTGTGGTGAAGTTGCAAGCCTAGGAGAAATATATTTACAGTGTAAGGGATTACCTACATGTCGTCATGGCACAACCAAACTATTCTTGTGATTTTTTTTTTTTTTTTTTAAAGAGCCGATTCTCTAGGTGATTACTTTTAAATATTCACTTTGATTTTACTGAAATATCCATAAAGGCATCGTATAAGTATTTTTGTTGCATTATAGCATTAACTTGCTAATGCTGTGAGGGCAAGTATATGTGTCATTTCAGGTGTGATTTTAGTTCATTAAATTTTACAGTTTGATGGCTTCACATGAGCTAAGTCACAGAGGAGTACTTAGTTCTACCTCTTCTCCCCTTTTAATGCTTTTCATTGATTTTTTGTAAATATTTATGTTTTTTATTATGTATTGGTATTTGTATTGTTAACCCATTTGCGCCGGGTAAAAATGAACAAAAAATGGGGAAAATGCTGTGCTCACTTTTTTATGAAATTTCTCTACAGTAGATGGCTCTGCCTTACCTGATTTTACCTTTACTTGAATTGGCGGGAAAATGTATTTTTACTAGTGTTACGAATATCGATGGTTATTTTTATTATAAACATTATAATTACTATAATATTATAAACATTAGTAACAATA